GATAATTTTGGTGGTAGTACCGGTGGTAGTAGGATGGTGGTTGTCATGGGGATGATGAGGTGATGGGCAACAACGATAGTAAATGATGGATAGTAGTCGTGCCAGTGGTAATAGTGGTGCCAGAGGCAATGATGGCGATGGCGATGGTGATGAAAGGGGATGATGGTGAGAGAAGACCAACAAACATTGTTTTAGAGTGATTCCATGATAGAATGAAGTGTCTATTTCTTAGTTTGAAAGAAAGAATATGTATTCCTATTTTTTGTTGGAATAGTTATTCTGATGGACACTTTCATAAGGCATACCAAATAAGACAGAGAATACAAAATTGGAATAGACATTTCATTCTAGGTCATTCTATCATATCAAACGTGTTTCGAGTGTTTAACAACTTTCTTTTTTAACTTAATTATAAATAATAATAGAAAGTAATGTTGTTTAGCACATATATAAGTTTGACTTTTTGATATAGGTTATAGACTTTTTTGTTTTTTTTAATAATTTTTTGGCTTTTAGGCTACAATTATAACATGCCAAACGAGGCCTAAGTCACAAATTTTTGTAATATCAATCACAAAATTTTAGACATTTTGTTACGGTAATTTATAACGAAATTACTAATTTTGTGATTGATATGATAAAATTTTGTGATACAAAATTACACATTTTTGTGATAGGATGTATATCATAGGATTTCCCATAAATTTTTGGTGGGAAAGTGATATTTTGTAATTACTTTTTGCTTAAAAAGTAGACTTTTAATGGATTATCAAAGAATTTGTTTGATATTTTTAATTTTTTGAGCTAAAAAAAATTCAAAAACTTAAGTGAGATGCTGAAGGAAGCCTAATGACACCATGTCATTTGTGCAATTCCGAATGATAATGACCGCGTTTCATTTGAAATGGAACAGCCACAATTTAAATTATTCTATATGAATTTTTTATTTTCAAAAAATCTATTTATGTATTATTACCTAATTAAAATATCACGTAATATTATTTTTAAAAAATTAAATAATTTCTCATAAAAATCATATTTTGTGTACTATTGGTAGTAGTTGTCCAAAATTTTTTAAGACCATAAGCTAAATATGGCTTTATTATTCTTTTCTTTTTCTTTTTTTTTTAATGAGTTTTAGGTGACAAATTAAGGGTTCGTTTGAGAATTGATTTTTTAATTTTTTTTATAAAATAATTTATAAAAAAATAAAAATAATGAATTCACTTTTGTGTATTAACATTTTGACGTACCTAACATGTTCCCAACAAGGCATTAGTGAGACCTAATATGCCTCTGACTCGACAAATTAATAAAAGATTGCTTTTATGAACCACTAACTCGATAGGCTTATGGTTGTGTCCATTAGATATGTTCAATTTTAAGATAAATTATAAATACATTATATTTGTTTAAAATACAGATTATTTTTTGTGATTTAAAAAATTATAAATACTTTCTTGTCTTTTTTCTTATTTAACAGAATTAATTAAAAAAATAAAATTCATAATTACTCTCCTATACAATAATAAAATTACTTCAATTGAAATTCATGATTACTCTTCTATACAATAATAAAATTACTTAAATTATTAATTGAAACATGTTTCTAACATTATTAAAAATTGTTAATTGACTTGATGATTTATTAATAAAATAGGCTATTTGTTATGAAATTAAAAACCTCAGTGAATGGAATATAATTTCCAAAACTATAAAGGGCGATTCATATTTTAATCAAATCTCAATAAATGTATTTGTAATTTACCCTAAATTTTATGTTAAAATTAAGGTTCACATAGCCATGTTCCATCAATAGAAACGGGCAGAAATTCCCATTATTTATTTTGAAAAAATTACACATCAGTGAAATTTTTATTAAATATTTACAAATTAATGGTAAAATTATGAATTTAATTATAAATATTATAATTGATGAAGAGTATCTGCAATGTTGAATAAAAAATTTCATCAAATTTGAATAAAAGTTTGATGAAAAGTTTGATTTGATATCGTTCACTCCAATACTAAAATTAGAATTTTCATATGATTTTTTTGCATCCTTGGTTGTCCGGGAGGGCGTTCAGGCAGATGTCCAAGAGGTCGTCTGGACATGAACAAAAAAGAATGTCAAAGTTGCTCTTGAGTGGACATTCGAGAGGATATCCGACCCAACAGTAACAATTTAAATTTGATGAAAGATGAAATACTCTCTTTATTTGATAAAAATTTTGATTCATCCCTCATTCTATGAGTTTGATAAAAGGATTAGAGGTTAAACAGTTGTTATTTTTCATCAAATTTAAATTAAATAAAATATGAAATACAACATTAAAGATGGTCTAAAAAGATGCACTGAATTGTAAATTTTTATTTTTTATTTTTTTTTCCCCACAAACAAAAACTCCAATAATTGGTTTCCTGCTCTTAGGGTAACGGAGAGGATCCTCTCAAATTGAAAAATCATTTGACAGAGTCCAAGTAATCAACCTTATGACTGGGACTCCTAATGTTGAAAAATTATGAGGTGATTTTAGAATAAATTCACATGATGTCTTTACTTGATATTAATCGATTAAAATTCTAAAAATTAAGATTTTTTATTAAACTTTTTGGAGACAATTTGACTAGTGTTCAAAAAAGTGATAAATGATGTAGAACAGCCCTAAAAACCACCAAATAATTCCCTAATGTTATCCAAATACAAAAAAAAAAACTATTAATAAAAGATGTTGAATTGAGACTTCTCAAAATGATTGTTTTTATGTTATGTTAAAATTAAGGTTCATATACCACTTGGTTATAAGATGAGTTGTGTGTTATATGTTTTAAGCTCGTATTTGTTTGGAATATTTGATGAGAGAAATGAAAAGGGAAAAAGAAATATAATCTTATTTTTTGTTTGGTTATAATAAAAAATATACGGGAAAAGAAAGTAAGAGAGCAATGTAATCTCCCTTTTTGTGTTTTGGGTTCACTTAGATTCTTATTTTTCTTCATTTTCTAACTCAACCAAACATAACTTGGAATTCAAATATTATCAATTCTTTCTCCTTTTGTTTCTATTTCTATTTTTCTTTCCATTTCTCTTATCAAATTCTCCAACCAAATACAGCTTAAATGGCAGTAGTTATTTTCAAACAAAACTAAGGCTTTCATTATGTTGTGTTTGCTTCATGGATTTGGATGAGAATTTGGAAATTGAAAAAGAAAAAATTTATGGAAGATACGTGAAATGTAATTATATTTCACTCACATTTTCTCTTTCCATTTATAAATCCCTCACCAAATTAATGAATCAAACATAGTCTTAGAGTCAAATTCCAAGTTCAAATTTGGACCAAGTAAAACTTACAAACTTTTTATAGAAAAATCAACGTAAGACTTTTTTTTAAACTAGTTATCAGTTTTTAACCAGTTCAAGTGATGACCTTTTGATTAGGGGTGAGCAGCGGATATACCAATCCGCTAAAACCGACCGAACCAAACCGATCTGCCGCATTTTGGACGGATGCGTGATGACGAGCGGACAGTTGCGGGTTGATTTTCTCAAATCCGCCAATTTGGCGGACGAATGGCGGATTTGAGATTCCTTTGGCCGCAACCGAACCGCCAAACCGCGAGCATCCTTAATAATTTATAAGACTTTGTGTTTTCAATTTATTTAAATATTTTGTTTGTGTTTTCAATTGAAAAAGACTTTAAATATTCTGTTGAAAAAAAGATTTCAACTTGAATATATTTTTTGAATTGAAAAAAATAAACGTATTATTTATTTATATTTTTTGGTTTTTAAATCTAACTCTAAAAGTAATAAATAGAAAATATGATATATGTTGGTTGGTTTTTATTTTCAAAAACATATATAAATGTAACAATACAGAGACATACAATCTCTACTACTGCTATGTTCATGGTTTTGGTGGTTTGAATTGTTTTTATATTTTAAGAACCACATATTTTAATACTTTATGTGGATAAGGCATGCTGTGATTATAATATGTGGATGAGGCATGTAGTGATTTTGATATTCTAAAGTTTCAAACTTTCTTTCTTTGGATGAGGCATGCAGTAATTGTAATACTTTTCTTCTTCTTCTTCTTCTTCTTCTTTTTTTTTTTTTGAGGAAGTGTGCAAGTTGAATTATATTAAAAATTTATAAAATTTCAAATCGCCAAACCGATTCGCATCCATCCGCCAAACCGCCAATCCGCTCAATCCACATCCGCTGAATTGGCGGACGGATGCGGCTTGATTTTCTCCAATCCGCCAATCTGGCGGACGGATGGTGAATTGGAGGTTCTATGGCCGCAACTGACCCGCGCCCACCCCTACTTTTGATTAATTTCTCATTCAATCTTTGATGAGTGTAGGTAAGCTAATCTTTGGTGCTCATCTACACACAGATTAACACGTTATACCATACCCACCACCATGTATGAAACCCAGCTACATTTTGATTAAAACCCCCCCTTCCAAAAAAAAAAAAAAAAACTATTTCTATAGTGATTCTAATTTAGACCCAACCCGTTTATTATTTTGAATCCAGGATTGTTTGTCTTGATGGTTGTTCATGTCCTTATTCATCTTATTCGTTGTTGAATTGGGTTGTTTGAGTATTGGGATTGCATTTGAAACAAGTTGGGAGTTTGTTTTTTAAATGAGTCATTGCCCAGAATTTTGCTTGTCGCTTGAACAGAGCTTCTTGTACTCGAGCGGTCTTTTACAGTCTACAAAACTACTGAGAGTTTGATATTCGCGCTCGAGTGATGCTTTTTGTGCTCAAGCGAACTTTTACATGTCTAAACTATTGAGAGGGGTTCATTGTGCACTCGAGCAACCATTCTTGCACTCAAGCGGTGTCTTCATTTGTGTCTAGTCGCTCGAGCGACCATTCCTGCGTTCAAGCGGTCTGCACAATCCAAGAAGTTACTTTTTAAGTCATTTTCTCACCTCTCTCTCTCTTTAAACTTTCCAAAACCTAGATCTACTTTCTCTCTCTCTCTCTCTCTCTCTCTAAAACTCATATTTAAACCTTCAAATACACTGTCATCTATTGATCTCTCAACCATTGTCCTTTAGGAAAAAGGGTAGAGCTTGCTGAGAGCTTCCTTTTGATTGGAGCAAAATTGATTTTCGGCTTCGATAAAGTTTTCTCTCTCTCTCTCTCTCTCTCTGCTTGTCTTCTAGCTTTGAGGTAAAGATTTCTCCACACTTTAGTATGGTTTTTAACTTGGTTATTTGTCTTTTCAAAGAAATCATGGGATTTGGAGATTTTGGATAAAAATCTAGGGTTTGGTTTTGAAATCAAAATAGTGGTTTTTAAAATGGGTTCTTGGAAATGATTGTGGAAATATATTTATGGTAAGTATGATGAAATGATAGATTTTTATCATTGAAATTGATTTATAAAGAAAATGGAATTTTGTCCTAAAATCTGCGGTATTTGGTTTTGTAAAAATTGAATGGAAATGATGTTGGGTTTTATGAAATTAGAATGATGATGGTGTAATTGGATATGTATTATCACTCCCATCTCGAAGTTTTGGAAAGTATATCTTTAATGGAAATTATCTATCTGTTTAGAGGTATCTGTTTTGGGCTATTGGTCGACGATAGCTATGATTGTTATAAAATTTGCATGATGATTAGGTGAACTGAAACTAATTTATTATCCATTGCATTGAGCATTGTTGCATATTTAACACATTGAAAATGTATATTATTATGAGAAAAATAGGTGAATGCCTTGGTGAATCTGGGTAGGGGGTGTGGTTGTGGTATTATGTGTTGAAAATTTTGGTTTATAAGGCTTATTTTGGGCCAACTTTGAGCCCAAAATGGAGTGGGCCCCAAACGTTTTTTGGGGTGGATTTGAAGAGGTGATGTGTTCCTTGCCCCATGACAAGTCACACGGTGAAGACATTCATCAAAACCATTTGTGAGTGAATGGGACCTTGACGTCGTTTTCGGATTCGCGGAATGGACATTTAAAGATTTAAATGTGGGTTTCCTTTTAATGGGTTATCCCACATTGAAATTTTAAGAGAGCTTGTGTATGTAAATAAGTTCTAGACTACAACACTTGAGTTGGGCCCCAAGGGACACTCCAAGTTTGTAGAAGGGAGGAGTTATGGACAAAGTGAACCTTAGCTCAAACCACCACACAAGCGCGCCGCCGCCGTCCGTCCGGCCGAGCGTGCCGGGTGTGGGTTATGGGTCGGGTCGGTTTTTATATTAATTTTTATTTATTTGAATTTTTAATGAAATAAAATTCAAATTTTGTTCCAAAAATTGAATTTATTTTCTATCCGTTTCCAGTCCAAAATCCAAATAGATTAAACAGCCCAAAAACTGTTTGAACCCCAGACAGATTTAGTTATGTAACTGCTGTGAATCTGTTTGAAATTTAAACTATATCTGTTTGAAACAAAATTGCACCTATTCGGTTTAAACTTATATATGTTCCAGGTTTGTTTCACACTATTCGGCCCTATTTATTCCAGCACTGTCCAACAGTTTTTTACCTCGAAAAAAATCAGTCTGAAATCTTTTTCTTGCTGTCCAGATTTTATATGTATGTATTATTCTTCATTTTAGTTTTAGAATAAAATTCAGAGAGTTAGAACACAGGTTTGGTTCGCCGTACAATTTGTTTTAGAGTGCTACTACAAATTGGAGAAGATCATTGTATCTTGGGAGATAGACGCCACATAACCGTAAGCACCGTAGCAGGGCGAATCTGTCTTAAGGACAGAGTGTCACACACTCGACTTGGTCTTTTATTTTTCATTTGGTTCGACAAATAAAATTTTGTAAGTTTTTATTTTATTTATTTTTATTTAGTTTCAATTTATTTTATTTACACAGAAGATTGTTCCAACAATCTTAAGACTGACTCGAATTATTCTGTTTACATAATTTTTCGTTTGTTTCCCTTTTACTTTCTTCGTTTACAAAAATTATTTTCTGTGAATTACAAAATATTATTCTGGTTGGAAAAATAAATAGTGATTATATACTATTTGACAGATATTAGTAATATACTGTCTATTTTCTTTGACAACTAGTAATAATATACTGATGTCATTAACAATTCAGAATATTTATTTGTGAAATTTTTTCAAAAATTAATTTTTATTTTCAGAAATTATTTCTGAGTGTTCATTAATTAAAATTTTGTTTTAGTGTTTTAATTATTGAAGTATTACAGAAATTTAATTTTCTGTGTGAAATTAATTTGGTTAAATTAAATTTTATTTTATTTCAAATTAATTGAAAAATAAAAGTTGCATTTCTTGTTTCTTTTATTTTTACAGAATTTAATTTTGTGAATTTGGTTTAATTTTCTGTATAGTATAAATTCTAATTATAATTTTGTTTTATAATTTAGAATTCATGGCTACTGAAACTAATGCTCAAACAAGTACTAGTGTGGTGGCTGCAATTGCACCAACCCCCTCTCCTATGGGGACAATACCAGTAAATCACTGTGAGAAGCCAGAAAAGTTCTCTGGAGCTGATTTTAAAAGATGGCAACATAAAATGTTGTTCTATCTTATAACTCTGAACCTGACTCGTTTTCTCCGTGAGGATGCTCCTATTTTGAAAGATGATGAAATTGTCCGGCAAGTGGTTGTTGCGGTCGATGCCTGGAAACATGCTGATTTCCTTTGCCAGAACTACATCTTGAATGAACTTGACAACACATTATATAACGTCTACAGTCCTATCAAGACAGCAAAGGAACTTTGGGAGTTTTTGGAGAAAAAATACAAAACGGAAGATGCCGGCTCAAAGAAATTTGTGGTTGGCAAATTCCTAGACTTTGTGATGGTTAATTCTAAGACTGTGATCAGCCAAGTTCAAAATCTCCAACTCATTCTGCATGACATTCACGCAAAAGGCATGTCTTTCAGTGAATCCTTCCAAGTTGCAGCCTTAATTAAGAAATTGCCATAAGGCTAGAAGGAATTTAAGAACTACCTCAAACACAAGCGCAAAGAAATGTCTTTGGAAGAATTAATTGTGCGTTTGAAGATTGAGGAAGACAACCGCAATTCTAAAAAACGGGTTGGTAAGCATCCTATGGAGTCTAAGGTGAATGTGGTGGAACATGCTTCAAAAACTAAGAAACGAAAGTCTTCTGGAGAAAGTTCATCACAAGGCTCTAAAGGGGAGGGAAATAAAAAGTACAAGTTTAATGGCAAATGTTACGTCTGTGACAAAGAGGGACATCGGGCCAAAGATTGCCGTAACAAAAGGCAAAAGCAAAAGAAGAACAAGCAAGAAACCTGTTCAAATTCATATGACCGAAGTGAACAATATTTCCAATGGTATAGATAACATCAATCTTTCTACAGTTGTTTCCGAAGCAAATCTTGTTGGAAATCCTAAAGAATGGTGGGTGGACACTGGTGCTACTCGCTATATCTGTGCCGACAAAAAGATGTTCACATCTTATTCAGTAGTGGACAATGGTGAATAACTTTTTATGGGCAACTCCTCAACTTCCAAAGTTGAAGGACAAGGAAAGATTGTACTTAAGATGACATATGAAAAGGAACTCACTCTCAACAATGTGCTGCATGCACCGGACATTCACAAGAATCTTGTTTTCGAATCTGTGTTGAGTAAGAATGAGTTTAGGCTAGTGTTTGAGAGTGATAAATTTGTACTTACTAAGAATGGGATGTATGTAGGAAAATGTTACATGTCTGATGGTCTCTTTAAGATGAATGTAATGACCGTTGTACCCTCAATTATTAATAAAAATACATCGTCTTCTTAGATGCTTGAGTCTTCAAATTTATGACATAGTAGACTAGGACATGTTAATTGTGGATCTTTGCGTAGATTAATTAATATGGAATGTTTACCTAAATTTGACATTGATTCAAATCATAAATGTGAAATTTGCGTTGAGGCAAAATTATCTAAAACTCCTTTTCATTCAATTGAAAGAAGTACGGAACCACTTGAATTAATTCATAGTGACATTTGTAATTTTAAATCAACTCAAACCAAGGTGGGAAAAAATATTTTATCATTTTTATAGATGACTATACTAGATATAGTTATGTTTATTTAATTCGAACCAAGGATGAAGCTTTGGAAACTTTCATTTGATATAAGAATGAAGTTGAAAATCAACTTGGTAAGAAAATAAAAAAAACTAAGAAGTGATAGAGGTGGTAAATATGAATCATCTTTTGGTGAATTTTGTAAAGAACATGTAATAATTCATCAAACCACCGCTCTTTACTCACCTCAGCAAAATAGAATTGCTGAAAGAAAAAATAAGACTTTAAAAGAAATGATGAATGCCATATTAATAAGTTCTGGATTATCTCAGAACTTGTGGGGGGAAGTAATACTTTCTGCTAATTATATACTTAATAAAGTACCCCAAAAGAAAGCGAATCAAACACCTTATGAATTGTGGCATGAAAGAGTATCATCCTACAAATATTTAAAAGTGTGGAGGTGTTTGGCTAAAGTGGCTATTCCTAGTCCTAAAAAGACTAAGATAGGTCCTAAGACCATTGATTGCATTATCATTGGTTATACCAAGAATAGTAGTGCATATCGATTTTTATTCATAAATTAGAACATTCCGAAATGCACGTAAATACTATTATTGAATCAAGCAGATTTGATAGAACCAATGATGAAGGCTTTTCAAAATTAAACATCTAATAGTTAAAAACATATTATATTCACAATATAGTTTAAAGGGAAATAGGTACCACAAAACTCATAAATGCCAAATTGTATATATTCTTTTGGAATGATGTTGTAAAAAAAAAAAATAATAAATAAAAAAATAATAAATAATAAAAACAAAATATAAAAAAAAAACAAAAAAACAAAAACAAAAAATCATATAAAAATTGATCAATAAAATGCACCGAACTTTGAATTTCATTTTGAGTAATGCTTAGGAATCCAAATCAATTATCAAATATTTACAGTAGGTCATATATGGTGTAAGTCTATTATGTAAAATATTTGGT